GTCTATTAAACAGAACAAATAATACCTTCATCATATGAAATCTGAACTACGTACGTTAACATTTTCATATTTGCGGGTTTTCAGATACAACGTTGTTTTTTTTACTTTTATTTATTTAAAATTAAAACAGTAGGAAATCCTGGCCAACATTCAGAAAGTAAAGGATTTTATCTTAGTTTCGAAACTCTCAAACTGCTAATTATTTTTGTTCTTAATAAACTTAAACTTTAATAAATATTTAATTAATTACATCCTTTATTTTTATTTTTGTAGTTAATAAACATCTTCAGATTTCTCTTCAATATATACTACCCTTTCAAAATTTTCTGACTATACTTGCGCGTTTTAATTATAATCCTTTCGCTTACTTTTTAATGCTTCATCACTTAATTTCGATCAAAAGTAGTCGAATACGCAAGATTAAGTATATATATTCTTTTTTATTTTGATAAATTAAAAGTATATAATGGTCGGTCCTACTATTTGAAACTCACACAATTGTAAAACTACTATTATCAACAAACTTTTTTTGTTTACTTTAATATTAACTTTTTAGTAAACTTTTTCGGATGTTCACTTAAAAGTTGCTTTATATCAACGTGAATTATTTTTAATGCTGTAGGAAGTGTTTTTACACCTAAAATTAAGTAAAACTTGAGTTGGGTACTCTAACTATAGTGTATAAAAAAATTATTATTTATATAAAAAACGTAGAAAATTTTTCAATGTAAAAATTTGGACACAAAAAGACTCTTACCTCGTGTTACCTTTGCTCTTTTCTGTTACTCTCGATTTATTGTAAGCAGACATGACAGTATCATGTTGTTATCAAAAATGTGATACGTATATACAAGTATAGTAGTAATATAGAATATCAAGTTGTCACTTTTTAACTTTTTAGACATTTAACTTCTTATCCGTATAAATCGAAACGAAAACAAAATAAAATTTTATAGAATATTCAAGAAAAGCAATACTTCCTTGCTTTTTTTATGTCAATTAAGCTTAAGGGGTCAATATTTCTTCGATACTTGACGTATTACCGATAACCACAGCTTGTCAATAATGATTGGTAAGACTCGACACGCCTCATTTCATCCTGCCTGCACTCAAAACTTTATTAATTGATTAAATTTTTTTTCTGGTTTGATTTTTAAACAAATCAAACATCGTGCAAATGTCTATCATTTATTTTTAATTACCTCTTGATAACTTAAAAAAAAATATTTTATCAATCATATTGATCGTTGATATCTTGTCATACAATGAAATGAAAATAATAATTCATACATAATTGTTCGATTTTATCTTGATTATTTTCTAAAACTCGCTCTCTACTAATCATTTTAATCCCTTCAACAATAATAAGGCTCATAACTGTATAATACAATTATTGTTTATTGAATGATTTAAAAGTTTTCATAAGTTTTACATCATACAAATTGTAATTTAAGTCGATTTACTTAGGTAATAAGTTTCGAACTTCGAATCCACAGTTAATAGATGCTACAATCTAATAGCATTATAATGTAATAGCTATGTTACAACCTCGTGTTTTTAAGCTTAATTCAAGTCAAGTTTCTCTCCAATTTAAAGAAAAATTTTTTCTGGAATATAAATGAAATTAAAGGATAAATATTATTTATTTGCTTTATCAAAATTCATGTTTTATTAAACTTATACCAATCAGAAACTATTTTATAAGAACATTCTCAAGTCATTTCTGTTTTTAGAATTTTAAACGTCCGAGTATTTAGGTCCCGAGTGCTCAAGCTCTAATATTTTTGGTTGATTCATTAATCCATAATTATTATTCACTAGTATATATTTAATACACTGAAACATTTGAAAACAAAATTTAATACTTCAATTTAGTTTAATTCGAGTATATTAACCAAAAACTATTCAATTTGAAACAACTACCGAGCATCCGTAAAAATTAATTTTATTGGAAAGTAAAATTCGTATATTTTTGATAAATTCTTGTTAATCAAAATAAATTTTCGTTGATGGATATCTATTTTAAATATTTGTAATTTAATATAGATCAAATCAACGATTATTGACATGGAAAAGAGAATGATTAACTTAAATAGTCACATCAGTTTATAGTGCGAAATTTTAATAGTGAAGTGCCCCTAGCAAAAAAATAAGAAACTTACTTTCAAAGTAGAATTTTCACAATCGCTGAAAGAATTACATTTTGAAACTGTAAAAATCAATAACTCACAATTTTGTTTTTATTTACAGAAATTTTATTTAAAACTATAATTTTTCCAATTTTAAAATGTACTTCTTACAAAGTTGATAAAAATTTTATTTAGAAACTGAAATTTCTCAATTTTTTTCGCTAAAGATACCTAACTATTAAAATTTATACTATAAATTGTAAAAATTCGAGTGTTTTTCTTTTGTTCGTCAATGCCTTTAGAAAATAACACTTTATTAAATTTTTATTTCAATATTTATTTTAATTCCAACATTATCGAATATACCTGAGAGTTTGAACGCGTCGCTCAAGAATAAAGTAAAGGATTTAATTGCATTTGATCTAATAAGCTTATCAAGTGATAATTTCATCTATTATACCATTAGAATCATGTGGAGTTTTGTAATTTTCTTTATAATTAAAGATGCAATAAATTATAGATATAACATTATAACCTTATGCAATTCCCGGTACATTTATAGTAAGCATAATTACATTTAGGGCACAGTTGGAGCATATATATGAATATAGGTATGTTGGTGGTATGAAAGTTGTACAGACATCCGCTCATGAAATAGTATACGTAGCCACGTATATGTTACTACACATACACATATAATCCGTTTTACTAGGTGCAAGCCCAATAAAATCTTATACACACTATATCACCATTTGCACTTGTGTGTAACGTACAGTAATCGTTTTTACACTGCACATACATGGATACACTCAGTATTTAAACATTCATTCGATATTGCACACTGCAGTTGTGCTTCCTGGTGTACAAGAACTGAAAAGCCCAAGAGTCCATACCAGAATACAACAAACACAAATATTTCCTGCTCTGAACCCTACTATTTGTCTTTTACTCGTTTCCTCTCAGTTATCCTCACTCATTCATTTGAATCTAAACTTGATTTTAACGCTGCTGCAAATTTCAACTTTTTCTCGGTTTCACTATTAATTTAAGTTAATGAGAAATATTGCACGAAAAAATACATGAGAAACTACGCTCGGGTTAAAAAAAAGCAAATTAAATGTACGTATACAAACCACCTGGAAAAAGAAAAATAGTATTAAATAGATAAATTTAACAAGATTTTTCATTCTATGAGAAGATAAATTATTTACGTTTTGTGCTGGTTAATTGTAAGTTAAACGGGTATTTATTTACTTTTTTCAGATTTTGTATTTAAGAGTTTTATTTTTTCAATTACAAAAAATTACAAAGAGATATTTTTTCAGAACTTATACATGTCTATTAAATCTGGAAAAAAACTACAATAACATTTTATAGATAAAAAAAAAAAGTTTACTTGAACCAAAAAAATTGTAAGGAAAGCCGAAGTTGTTTTGGAGCAAGAAGAAACTTACGAGAAATAAACTTTTTTTGCTCAAGAAAATTTTAATACTTAATCCAAGATAAATTATTTTTTTTTGTTAATGTTTTTTTGAGTCAAGAATCTTTTCATTCTGTGTAAATAGAAAAAAAATATCATTTTAAGCTGACTTTGATGTTTATTTTTACTTAAATGAAAGTGTAAAAAATATAAGGTGATTTCTTCATGAATCAATGGTAAAAAATGATATTTTTTTTGTGACATCCTAGGATGCACCATGACAAACCTGATTGGATTGATATCAATCGCGTCGGTTGTAAACTTCTTTTAGAAATAAAATAGACCATTTAGTCTTTTTTTTTTTTTGTGTTTATTTAACTCATAAATTACTGATTCGATTGATTCTAAAATTCAATTAGATAAAAGCACTGATTAACTTCTTTGACTGTCGTAAAGTGTTGGTTCAATTGGTTGATTCGTTCAAGAGATATTGTTCTCCACAAATTACTTTTAGGTAAATTTCTTTAGCAATTCTGTATAGAATAGCTATTTGTTTTAAATTTTATGACGAAACTTTAATAAAATTTTGCGTAATTCTCAACGAAAAGCTGCTGAGTTTACTTTCAAAAACTGAAAATACTTTAAACTTAATGTGAAATATTTTTAGTACCTACTTTTTCAATTTGAAAGTTACGAAATACCATTAACAGTACGAGTACGAAAGTTAACATATGATAAATTTTTCAGGATATTTTTTGAACTCACATATTCAAAGTAAGAGTACATCGCATGTGTGATCGATCAGTAATTAAATTTTTTTGGGAAGGCAAAACACATAAACTATACTTTCGTCCATTAACTATTTTGAAAGTTTTAGACAACGATAATATGCCTCGAGCTCGATGAAACCAAACGGGATCATAAGAGTAGTTAATTGGTAAAGTTCACCAGCTCGAACAATTAGTTGAAGATAACTTGGGTGGTGGACACCCAAAAGAAAAAAGTTTTTCGCTATAAATTAAATTTCTCGATGAATTAAAAGTACCTGATTGTCTCTTATTATCCTTAAAAACTTATTCGAAAAGACATTAATTAAAGATTTAATGTCTTCTATTTTTCCTAAACGAATATAAATAGAAATAAAAAAATTTAATTGAATCTCAATTTTTTTATTTTATTAAAACTTATTCAATCCAAGTATATCATTATCATTTAAATATTTAATAAAGTTATGGATTATCAATTATCTAATAATAAATAAAATTGAATTTTAATAAAACGCCAATCTAAGGTTCAAGGATAGAAACATAATTTTTTAAGTTTTATTTTTAGCATGCTTTTAAAAATAAGTATTCTCAACTGAGACCGACTAAGTTTTTGAGCTTGTTCATTAACGCGCAATTAAATGAGCCCCTGAGATTCAGGGTTGAGATATTTCAGTGAAATGTAGAATGGCTTTAATTTACTTTGATCTTAGATATATTTTAAAACAAAAATCGGCTGTTGGTTTCTTCAGCACCAAAGTTGTAAAATCAAATATTTACCTTTTACACTAAAACTCTCACCTTGATAATTCGTTTAAACAAAATTCTGCGAAAAAAATATTTGTTCAGATAATCTCCGTTAACTTTATTTTTTGTTCTTTGTTTCAGGATGACACGAGAATCATGAAAGTTGGGGACAAAAAAAAGTGGATTCACGATCCGAGTAGTAAGTTATATTTTTTTTTTGTATGAAACTTTAAATTGATTCAAGAAAATATAGTTTTACTATATTTATGGATCAACATAAACCAGTCAATATGATTCGGAAAAAATGCCATCGATACCAACTAAAGTAATGAACGGTCGTGCATTGAAGCGCAAAAAGATAGAAAGCGCACAAGTCAAGTCACGTATTTAATACATTTTATTTGAAAATTCTTATAGTTATATTCATACCGTGTTATATCGATATTTATTTAATGGAGTCAATTTTTTTCGAAATTACTATTTTTTTTGGAATGCTACTCGAAGAAAGGCAATCATTTAATTTGACGAAAATTCAACAGAATAAAGACTGACCCGCGTTTAAAAAAATTTTCTCTTTTTCAATTGACCTTTATTTTTATTAACCTTATAAAGCACGAACAATGTTACAGTACATATTTTGTAGATATTTAAAAGCTATTTTATGATAAAATTACGTCAAGTATTTCTATAATGTGAAGAAATATTTATTCTGCAATATGTTTAACTTAATCCGAACAAAAACAGTTTCACAGTAAAAAAAATCGCGCCAAGTCCACGTTCATAAGACTATTAAGAAAAAAAAATTAGTTTTTTTCTTTACAAAAAGATATAAAATAAAAAAATTAAAAAATCCAAGTAACCGATATGATTGTTTATGATTTTCGGAAATTAAAAAAATTTAGTCTGTAATTTAAAAATAAAAAAAA